ATACTGTCAGGTTCTGTATATACATGTCATTTACCCAATACTGTCAGTTTCTGTATATACATGTCATTTACCCAATACTGTCAGTTCTGTATATACATGTCATTTACCCAATACTGTCAGTATCTGTATATACATGTCATTTTATATACATGTCAATCCAATACTGTCCAGTATCTGTATATACATGTCATTTACCCACTACTGTCAGTTTCTGTATATACATGTCATTTACCCAATACTGTCAGTATCTGTATATACATGTCATTTACCCAATACTGTCAGTATCTGTATATATACATGTCATTTACCCAATACTGTCAGTATCTGTATATACATGTCATTTACCCAATACTGTCAGGTTCTGTATATACATGTCATTTACCCAATACTGTCAGTTTCTGTATATACATGTCATTTACCCAATACTGTCACTATATGTATCTGAATGTCATTTACTCAGTACTGTCAGTATCTGTATAAACATGTCATTTACCCAATACTGTCAGTATCTGTATACATATCATTTACCCAATACTGTCAGTATCTGTATATATATGTCATTTACCCAATACTGTCAGTATCTGTATATACATGTTATTTACCCAATACTGTCAGTTTCTGTATATGCATGTCATTTACCCAATACTGTCAGTATCTGTATATACATGTCATTTACTCAGTACTGTCAGTATCTGTATCCATGTATACATGTCATTTACTCAGTACTGTCAGTATCTGTATATACATGTCATTTACCCAATACTGTCAGTATCTGTATATACATGTCATTTACCCAATACTGTCAGTATCTGTATATACATGTCATTTACCCAATACTGTCAGTATCTGTATATACATGTCATTTACCCAATACTGTCAGTATCTGTATATACATGTCATTTTACATTCATTTACAATACTGTCAGTATCTGTATATACATGTCATTTACCCAATTCTGTCAATAATGTCAGCATCTGTATATACATGTCATGTCATTTGTCCTGTATATACAATTTACTACTGTCAGTATCTGTATATACATGTCATTTACCCAATACTGTCAGTATCTGTATATATATACATGTCATTTACTAATACTGTCAGTACTGTCAGTATCTGTATCCATGTATACATGTCATTTACCCAATACTGTCAGTATCTGTATATACATGTCATTTACCCAATACTGTCAGTATCTGTATATACATGTCATTTACTCAGTACTGTCAGTATCTGTATATACATGTCATTTACCCAATACTGTCAGTATCTGTATATACATGTCATTTACTCAATACTGTCAGTATCTGTATATACATGTCATTTACTCAGTACTGTCAGTATCTGTATATACATGTCATTTACCCAATACTGTCAGTATCTGTATATACATGTCATTTACTCCTGTATACTGTCAGTATGTCATCTGTATATACATGTATATGTATGTCATTTACTCAGTACTGTCAGTATCTGTATATATACATGTCATTTACCCAATACTGTCAGTATCTGTATATGCATGTCATTTACTCAGTACTGTCAGTATCTGTATACATGTATACATGTCATTTACCCAATACTGTCAGTATCTGTATATGCATGTCCTTTACTCAGTACTGTCAGTATCTGTATACATGTATACATGTCATTTACTCAATACTGTCAGTATCTGTATATACATGTCATTTACCCAATACTGTCAGTATCTGTATATACATGTCATTTACTCAGTACTGTCAGTATCTGTATACATGTATACATGTCATTTACCCAATACTGTCAGTGTCTGTATATACATGTCATTTACCCAATACTGTAGTACTGTCAGTGTCTGTATATACATGTTATTTACCCAATACTGTCAGTATCTGTATATACATGTCATTTACCCAATACTGTCAGTATTTGTATATGCATGTCATTTACCCAGTACTGTCAGTATCTGTATATACATGTCATTTACCCAATACTGTCAGTATCTGTATGTACATGTCATTTACTCAGTACTGTCAGTACTGTCAGTATACTGTCATATACATGTCATTTACCCAATACTGTCAGTATCTGTATATACATGTCATTTACCCAATACTGTCAGTATCTGTATATACATGTCATTTACTCAGTACTGTCAGTATCTGTATATACATGTCATTTACTCAGTACTGTCAGTATCTGTATATACATGTCATTTACCCAATACTGTCAGTATCTGTATATGCATGTCATTTACTCAGTACTGTCAGTATCTGTATACATGTATACATGTCATTTACCCAATACTGTCAGTATCTGTATATACATGTTATTTACCAAGTACTGTTTACCCAATACTGTCAGTATCTGTATATACATGTCATTTACCCAATACTGTCATGTATATGTCAGTATATGTATATACATGTCATTTACCCAATATTGTCAGTATCTGTATATGCATGTCATTTACCCAGTACTGTCAGTGTCTGTATATACATGTTATTTACCCAATACTGTCAGTATATGTATGTACATGTCATTTACCCAATATTGTCAGTATCTGTATATGCATGTCATTTACCCAGTACTGTCAGTGTGTGTATACAAGCAGTGTATCATTGTCACAAGTAATTGATACACGGTATAGAAGATTCCAGCTCTGATCCGAGGGATATATCAAGGAGTGGCTGTCAAGGTGGACCTCTTCACTCACTTGTGGTAAAACTGTGTCAAGTGTGGCAATACATCCTTGCTATCTTACTGTGAACAGAACAGCCAATGTATTATCGGGGTAAAACAACCCACACTATACGTAACTTTTATTTTTGTTTTGTAGGTTCGAACCTAGATTCTCTGATTGAAAGTGTTTGTCTGCTCCATCACACGTGGGTTTCATCAAGTGGTAATTGAGACTTGCATCCCTTTATATAATTAGGCCCTCCTTCCAGTACGGGATACGTCGCAATAAGTGTCTTGTTTAACTTTAAAACCAAACTACTACCCAAATAACGTGTGCTATTGATAGTCAAAGCACAACATGTGCTTACATGAAGTTCGGACTGTGACTATATTTGAACAGGACAGATATCGAAGGACAAAACCACGTATGGCGGGTTGTGTTCGATGATTACAGTGACTTAATGCTGGGAGCGCTCGTAAAATATCCGTATATCGCTGCACGTGTCTCCAGGGTACGCATCCACCTGTAACTGTTGGGACTATTTTCTCTTAACCCTTTCCTCGATATTACTGGGCACCTACGGCACCGACTGTATGTACCGGATCGGCTGGGTAAGTGTTCCCGTCAACAGTACATGTCTTCCTCGTTGTATAGCATCCGTAACGACGGTAGTAGCTCTTCCTGGTACTGTCCCCCCCAGTACGTTCATATCTCACAATGTGCGGAGGTCGGTAATATCATTTACGCAGCAACCAATTCCTGCTATACTCCGTAACAATGAAATACAACTTGAAATAAAGCAGTCTGTGCCTAAGAGTGAGTTAGTGAGTGAGTTTAGTTTTACGCCACTCTCAGCAATATTCCAGTAATTTCACCAGATACGGTATTCACACATTGTACCCATGTGGGGAATCGAACTCGGGTCTTCTGACTGACTGACTGAGTTTGGTTTTACGCCGCTTTTAGCAATATTCCAGCAACATCACGGCGGGGGACACCAGAAATGGGCTTCACACATTGTGCCCATGTGGGGAATCGAACTCGGGTCTTCTGCGTGATGAACGAACGCTTTAACCACTATAGGCTACCCCACTGCCCCCTGTGCCAAAGAGACCTGATTTTAAAGTAAATCATATACATGTACTTATTAATGTTTTGCATTTGTAATGGTATTTGTTTTACAACGCTACACTGGGCAATATTCCAGCTACATGATCGACTGTGGTTAGTAAATAGAGAATCTCACCCAAGTGTCTACTGATATCAATTATATCAACACGAGTTGATAAAGTTACAAATATCCGAGGCTTGCCGAGGATATTTTCACTTTTATCAACGAATGTTGGTATAATTGATGTCAGTAGACACGAGGGTGAGATTCTATTTATCATCAAAAATCATTCTTCATTAGTTGTCAATGAAAAATGTACATCTCTCAACACTGTACTACCATTAGACTTGCTGTGCAGTGATGTCATAGCATTGTGACGTCATCAAAGTTGATGACGTCATAGCATTGTCAGGGCATTGTACAAAATCTACTGTCAAAACGATATCTCCTAGGAGATATCATATGATCTCACACAAGCGATATCTCCTGTGGAACACAGTTTTGGATGATAAATAATCGTGTCTACCACTGTCTGGACCAAACAATCTAGTGATTGACATTATGAACATCGTTCTACTCTATCAGGACACATAACTTACTTCAAGCACAGCGAGCCAGGACCTGACCCCGTTGATAAGTGGTCGCTGGTAGCATCTAAGACAAGCATGGATTGCTGAAGACAAATTCCTACCCGGGTGGAATTATTTCTGAATAGTATGTGATTGGTTGTGGCGGGTTAAATGTGTTGCGTACTGCGTTGTTAGTTAGACATGTCACAACAACTATGTACGTGTAGACAAACATATTTAGGCTTGGAAGATAGTAACCAGTAACAACGGTGAATCTATTTGAATTGATGTATGAATTAAACACTGAAAAAATGTACATTTATATATTATATGTACTTTTAATAAATTCACATATTTTTATGAATATTTCATAATATATTGTTTAACTTATACACAAAGTGCAAAATTGTGTAGGATATGATATAGTATCCTGGTTTAAAGAAATATATATTGTAATGGCAGCAGTTAGCAGAAATGTATCTATCCTTTTATGTTGAGATCAGGTTAGACCATTAACGGATACATTTTATTTATGAGCAACAATGAACCCATTTCTGGTGTCCCCGCCGTGATATTGCTGGAATATTGCTAACAGCGGCGCAAAACTAAATTCACTCACTCACTATGAGCAACAAAGTAAGGGAGATTCGTTCTTTTCCAGGCAGATTTAGAAGATGGCAGAATATTTCCAGCACATTTGTTCCTGCCTCCCTTTCATGCTTGTTATATTTAGAGGAATAACTGCGAACAAGGACGAACAATAATGGCGTGTTTACTTGGTATCAACTTAAAACGTATAAGCTGTCGGCTTTAGATAAATTGAAGGCGTCTCCTCAAATACAAATGATGCTAAATTAGTTTTTAGGCAGACAGTATACATATCAGCCTGATATGTTATGTGTCATTTGATTGGCTGTTATGTAGGTAGTAAACCAATGACAACCGATATTACAATTGCGTATATGTTTTGGGTAGATAAGTGCAATCGGAACATAAATTCGTGAAGGATACCGTCGAACTCTGTAAGTTTTTGTATTCTAAATGGTTGTTTGTTGACGTTTAGGCCATTTCTCTCGTTTTCCTTTCGACGTTGTCACGATAGTTGTTGTACATCGACGCAGTGCCCTCAGTAATATATCCAGCTTGTCAAGAAAGCTGTCAGCGAAGGCAAACGAAGGAGAAAGTGAAATCTTATATTTTTACTGTTTGTTTTGTCAGATGTTTCTGATTTCCGGTGAGTTGTGAAGAATATAAACATAAACAAATGCTGGTTAATAGTTATTGGTACACAATGAGTATTCCCCGTATTCGGTTGCTTCTCGTTATGAGCTCGGGAAATTTCAGTAAGATTTTGAAACAAGACATAAATAAAGGATCTCTACTATAATCTCTAACCGACACGTTACAATCGTTTCAGTAAAAGATGAATGTCCATAAATTATACAGGATGTTTGTCAATTTGTCAGTCGAGGCTATTCTGTACTGAGGATCCATGGTTGAGGTTTGAATTTCATATTTACCCTATCCTTGGTCTGTTGGCACCCTTGGTCATGATTTTCTCCCAAACTTTTCACATGCTGAACAGCAAGTTATTATCCAAATGTACTGAATATATTTTTCACATTTAGTAAGATATAAAGAGGTCTTGTCTAAAGTAGAAAAAATATCATGAAAATGTCAATATGCATATAGCATACCTCATACACATCAGCCATATTTTGATGTCACTGTCTAGTTAGAAGTGCAAACAGAAACATGCATGGGAAACGAAAATGATCATCATGGTAAAAAATAGCCCTCAAAGCACATTCAGAATGATTATTTCAAATTTACAGGCAAAATTGAATTTTGTAAATGTACTTTTCGTACTGGTGTATTACAACTTGTTATGTCATGAATGCTACATTGACTACGTACAGAATTTTTCAAAAGCCAGATGGCAAAACTCTGCTAAATGTGCTCTAGGTAAATTTGATTTGAAATGATGACTGCTTGACCATGTAATTTGTAGACCAATCTAGTCTGCACCTTTGCTTGGAATGAGCGTAGTAAGAGTCATGTTGTATATGTTGGACACCCTGAAGAGTTATTTTCCTGAAAAATGAACCAGTGAGGCCTTGATTACCATAACATAAACCACATAAAGGCAGGAACCACCTTTACATGACTTTGTGGTGTGTGCGTCTTGGCGTGTGCTCTCATATATGGGTTGGGTTGAGAGAGAAAGAGAAAGAGAGGGAGAGAGTACATCTGTTTACATTAACCCACATAACAGTAGATCCCGGAAACTGCTGCCAACACCAACATGGATGAATCATTGTAGTGTTGTCTGAAAAGATCATTTCTAAATATAGCAAAGGTTAACAATATACTTGAATGGTGTATTTAAAAAAATATATAAATAAGAGAGTTCACTGGATGAAGGGACCTGGAATGGTCTCGAAACGTCAAGAGAGAAATTACAAAGAAGTTTAATCCATAAAAATATCTTGGACATCAATGTACAACTTCTAAATGCCACTGAAAGACATCAAGAGAGAAACACTTTTAATGTACATGTAACTTCAGATATGTTAAAGATCACATATACTCTAGGGGGGTACAAATACATAAATCACTAATTAGCATCTTTATAAATGAAGCCCCCATCATTAAAACTACTTATTTCGATCTTTAATTAACTTAAATATTAACTTAACTAAAATTGCATGCAATACAGCAATTAATATTCCCTTGTTGTAATCCGTGTTAGGGGGTATAAACGATAAACCTACACGTTATTTGTCATCATTCACTTGATGGTCAGTTAATGAATTTATAACAGGTATAATTAGTGGTAACACCACTTAGATTACCTGACAAAGGTTCCCATTTGGCATTTCTTGTGTTTGGAGTAAATACTCAACATCAGAAACATCGATCAAAGGATTAACCGATAACACGCTGATTGATTATTTACTTTTATCTTACACAGCGGATTTGTCAAAGGGTAGTGTTTATGTATGTAGATTTACTAATCTATACTGAATACACTCTGTCGTGTCTGTGTCTGCGTAAAAACAACGTCCTTCTTTCAAAGGATTAACCGTACAGTATTATTGTTACTTCGACCACAACCTTGCTTCTGAGGCAGAAATCGTTATGTTACAAGTTGTGTCATCTTTATGGTCATCAATCATATACATATTTTACTACAACTAGTAAGTAGTTTTGATTTTTTAACTTCCGTGAAGCAATCTGAACACAAGTAAGATATCATTTCAGGCTTCCACAACGCTCGCTTCGCACTCACAAACATAACCCATTTAGCACGAACTGCGGGTTCCTGTGGAAATCTGTGCATGGTGACACCAGGAGCAATTGACGACAACGCAACGATTCGGCATGTCTTTGTTGATGTCGAGAAATCATCAAAATGACGAGCTTGCTACACACCTTCTATATAACTAAATGAAAATCCTTCCTCATATGACGTCACTGCAGTGCTCTGGCGACAGAGTTACGTAACCTGTCTGTGGTTTCGTTGGCGGGCGAGAGTGAAGCAGGCAACTTTTAGTCGCTCGGTATTAATTAACCACAAGTTTTTTAAGAATGAAATTGGTGTTCCGCATAAGACTAACCACAAATCTTTCATGTGTAATAGTTAAAAGAGTACAAAAACCAAAGTTTATTTGTTCTTTAAGGAGATGCATACAACATGGACAAACTTTATTCCAAATTATCTCCCCTGATCAGGATTTAAAACCTGCAGATAACAAACTAAAAGGGGCTATCTTGAATCTCTAGATGGCAAAGCTAGACAGACAGGTGGGGTATCAGAAATATCATCCAATTGCCATTTTTCATTTAAATACTCTGCAAACAATGATACTGATGTCAATTTTTCGGATGACTGCACAGCTGACATAATTTCTTAAATGTCAGCTAAACAGGTGTTCTGATAAAAATAATTAGGATAGTATTAAGTTTTAATATACTAAGGTAGTTGAAATCATAGTTCATTTGAAAACAAATTTTCATTTGTTTTACCTATCATTAAGACATTATCTATCATTAGACTAGATAGTAGGTAGGCCTTGGGTCATGCCTACAGCAAGCAATTTTGACACGTTATTAAGACATGTGTAAAACTGAACGTTCTTAAAACACACACACACACACACCCCACCACAGTGACATGTCAGTGGCCTCAAAATTACGTGATAACAATGAAAATATATTCTTTTAACTGGGACAAGAAAATATTCCCAAACTGGTAGCTTTAGTAAATGATAATGATTACTATTATCATAATTATTATTATAACAAATTTTCTTTGCATTGTTGTGTCTTTAATAGTGCTGGTATTGGCATACAACCTGCGATACGATACATCACAATACTAAAATGTTCGTCACGACGATATATTGCCAAAGTATTGTGCACTGAAGCTGCGATACGATACGAATCCCGCTATAATGGTGGCAATACCATACGTATCACGATACTAAAATCTTAAATTCTAACACCAACTATAAAACACCTTAAGATCAAAGCAATACTATTTTCAAGTATTTTTTAGTCAAATTCCGGCAGCGTTTTTCAATGTTCACTCGGAAACGAGATAATTAAAGTTATACACGGAATTTGTGAATGTTGATAACATTCAAAGTGCTCTGTCCGACATAGTTCTTGACATATGAATTTCCGAGAAAACGTTTACCTTTCAAGGGAAAATAAGTCAGCATATATTTGGTAATTCTACAAGTGTGGTCAATCAACCTTCTTTTGACCTTCATACAAAACCTCAAGAAATAGGTAAATTATGATTTATAATTGTGTCTACATAATCTAGTAGAGAGCACAAATTACTATTATCCTAATTTCAATATGACTAGCTTGTTTATATGTTTATGGGCATCATATGTTTTCAGACATCTGTAATAATGCTATAAGGAGGTGCCCTGTAAATACTTAGTTGATGGCTTGTGTTGAAGATAAAGTTGTCCTTTTTTAAGTTAATGACATGTTTTATAGTTGCTCGTGTGATCAGAGAGAAAACTACTTTGCGTTTTTCTCCATGCTGACATCACTGTTTCCAAACTTTCCTCCCAGCTGAATCGGTCTTTGCACTTGGAAACCTAAAGAAATAATGCTTGGTGCTTATGTTTGATGAATTTTTTATCTCCCACAACATAATACCACGTTTAGCCCTTGTTTATACAGAGAATATTAGAACATCACTTCATTGTCATGTAGATTAATGTACAGTATATAAAAGAAAATGGTGTGTCACTTCACTAATGTCACTATTGTCAGAGTGTCATCCGAAGCTGGGATTTCTATATAAATATAAAAGCACTGGTTGTAGGATCAGGGAAGCTGTTTGTTGCTTTTTAGATAACAATGAAATCAGCTATAAATTTTTTGGATGTGTGTAAATGTGTACTTTGTGTGACATTTTTCAAAAGGCTTTTATTCAGTATATCTCCTTCAATGTGCAATGCATTACCAACATGAGATATGGTATAATGTGTACTGACTGACATTGCACAATGTTATTTACTCAATCACTGCTCACTCAGGATTAATTTATGACTGCACTTTCTCAGGCCTACGTTTACCTGTAGGTCTGTCCAGGGACTTTTCAGGTAAATGCTCTTATTTCAGTATACATCTGAACTTAACTTTTATTTCTATTGCAGTATTTTGCAGCTAGTATTTTCAGCAAAAATTTAAACATGCCAAGTACTAGTACTTTGATAAAAGCGTTGTCACTTTATTGTTGTTATTCAGTCTAGCCTGATTGAAATACTTTCAAGGCAACTCACTGATTGACTCAAATACCAGGTTGTGCTGATTGGGTGTATGAGTGTTTGTCCCATATCTGTGGTTCAGAGTAGACTCACTCACTCACTCACTCACTCACTCACTCACTCACTCACTCACTCACTCACTCACTCACTCACTCACTCACTCACTCACTCACTCACTCCTCACTCACTCTTGTGTATTTTTCTTCCATTAGCTGACACCTGAAAAAGTCCCGCAATGTTGTTCAGAATGTTTATTTGAACCTCACCTTTTCCTTCATTAATTAATCTGTACCTGTGAAGATCCAGGTTAGAATTGATCTTCAGTAACCCATGCTTGTCATAAAAGGCGACTACCGGGATTGGGTGGTCAGGTTCGTTGACTTGGTTGACACATGTCATCATATCCCACTTGCGTAGATCGATGCTCATGCTGTTGATCATTGGAGTGCCTGGTCCAGACTTGATTATTTACAGACCGCTGCCATATAGCTGCAATATTGCTGAGAGCGGCGTAAAACTAAACTCACTCACTCACTCACTTCATTAATCTGACACATGATCTCAAAAACTCACTCACTAAAAATATGGTTATTGCTTTTCCAGAATTGATGTTCCCTGTTTCAAAAAGGTCAGAATGGGTGTTTATTATAGTTGAAGTAGCACTGCTGTTGGAGTTATTCAAGCATGGGAGAACCTATGGACTATGAGACCCTCCAAGACTGGAAGTGTGACACTTGTACTCTCATCAATGATATAAACACTATTGAGTGTTCAGCTTGTGGGACATCATTTTCAAACTCTACCAATGGGGAAGACCAACCAACAGAAAAATCAAAGTTAAATGGAGTGGCCACATCAAGCAAGAAGAAAGACTCAAGAATATCCTCAACTTCAGATGATGTCTTTGAAGATGGGGAACAGACAGCCAAGGGGAAAAAACCTTTGAAACAGAATAATTCAAAGGATGGAAAAAAGTCTACAAGCTCATCAACAGGGTCTGTTTCCTCTCCTGTTACAAGACCCAAAATGAAGCTTGACATCCAAAATCAGGAGAGAGAAAGCATTTTGGTTGGTGAAGAAAATCAGTCTCAGGTAAATGGAGCATCTGGTGGCAAACAAAATGGTGACAAGGAGTGGAGTTGTAGTAAGTGCACACTGTTGAACAGTGCTCCTGATAAAAGATGTAGCATGTGTGGAGCTCCACGTGTATCTAGAGTCCCGACCTCAGTCCCAGATGTCATTGACTTGACAGACTTTGTGCCGTCTGCTCCTCGAGGCGAGCCAGATGGTGAGGAAGTAATGAAGGCGATTAATAAGACTGCAGCAGCAACAACTACCCCCAAGCCAAGCGGATCTAAACAGGTCCTGAAACCCTCTACAAGTGGACAGCTTGATGCTGATAGTGATTGGACTTGCAGACGATGCAGCTTTTCATGCAACCCTTCCTGGGCCAAACAGTGTGATCATTGCAGCTGCCCAAGAGATCAAACTGACACAGCTCCAAAGACTCCTATAGAATTTAAACAAGATTCAGTGAGATATTTCCACCGATCTCCCCGTGGACCTCTCTCACCAGAGCCAGGGCCATCTCCGAGTTTAGGCACGGAGGTGTGGTCTTGTATGAGGTGTACGTATGACAATACAGACCAGCATCATCTGTGTTTTATGTGTGGTTGTGCCAAGACTGCTGCACAGAACAGTAAGTCTAAATGGCAGTGTCTGCAGTGTACTCTACTGAACAGCAATGAGCTGGCCGAGTGTGGGGCTTGTGGACATGCTCGGCATGAACCTGGGTCGGGCAGACGTGAAGTTGGGGTAGGGTCAGGATCGACTCCCACAAACTGGCAATGTTCCATGTGCACATATCGAAACACTGCTGCTGCTGTGAAGTGTAATATGTGTAAGTCGGCGAGAAATAAACGTTCTAAGGCTCTTGTTCCTGCTGGCCCCGGAACACTAACGAGACAGGAAAGCTCCTTGATGGAAGAAATGAGGAAATCTGAAGAACATGAAGCTCTGGAATTATGGGAAACTATAGTTCTGTTCTGCAAGCAGGTGGGTTCCTCTTTGTCACTGAATCTGTATGATCACTGTATGTCAAGTATATAAATATGCATAATAAAAATGATCATAATACTGGATGGCAGTATTTAATTTGGATATACTTGTTGCATCACACATCAATCATAAATTAGTGAGTTCTTTTACAGTTGTTCATGTGATTAGCAAGATAACAATGAATGTTTCTTAAGTCTCAGAAAAGCCCATAACATTAGGTTAATAAATGAGTGAAGATTTGATTGCTGCTGTCAGGTGGAACAAGTGTCTTTAGGCTTCATCATGTTCATCAGGCCTTGCCTGACTGACTGACTGAGTTTAGTTTTAGCCGCTTTTAGCAATATTCCAGCAATATCACGGCGGGGGACACCAGAAATGGGCTTCACACATTATGCCCATGTGGGGAATCGAACCCGGGTCTTCGGCGTGACGATCAGGCCTTGACAGTAACAGACCTATGTTGCCTAGATGCACTCACAGATTTCATCAGCTAAACTATTTCAAGTCTTCAGTGTATTAATATACATGGGCTTTCAAGTCCCACTCAAAGCACTCAATCATTACAGGGTCCAAACGACCTACAGATTTCAAGTCTTTACTCTTTTAGTTTATGCTAGGAAGTGCAACAGTCCTCTTAATCATGATAATTGTGTTCTACACAAGGTTGTTATGATCATTACAGCCTGAGATTATACATGTAGCAATGGTTATTGAGTGGTAAAGCTTGAATGGCTGCACCCTCTACTTATTTCATCAGGATGAAAGTCCACGAAGCATTGCTACATTACAATTACTAAGAGCCAGTGTTAATGTTTGGGAGTTATGATCACCTTAGTACTAAGATCGCTCTGTGGAATGGAGCCCACATGGAGCCATGGTTCCAGGTGAAATGTAAGGAAGGTTACAGTCATAAGGTTGTAACCCAACACTCCAGGTGTAGCCCCACATTCCATGATGACATGTTCAGGTCAGCATTGTTTACACCAATTTTAACTTGATCACTATCCTCCTTCATGCGAAGAATATCACTGATGTTGATGTCCATGTGCTTGTTTCAGAACAAGACGCCATTCGTTGATGACTCCTTTCTGCCTGCCCCAAAGTCTCTGTATATTGAACCCCCCAAACCTTTTGCTAATATGGAGATTCAGTGGCTGCGGCCAGACAAGATTGCACCATCTAGCCGAGCTGAGATGAAACAGCCCTGGGTGGTTTATAGGACTCCGATGCCTGAGGATATCTCTCAGGGAATTCTGGGAAATTGCTGGTGCGTACAGGTCCTGTGACAATTTCCATATCTGGAAAGCATCGAGAAGGTTATGACTAATATAAGTGTAGAGAGAATTGAATGATCACACATCCGAATCTGTGGTTATTTGTATTCATTCTTGATCTGTCATGATATAACTGGAATACTGAAACAAAACCGACCGATTGGGAAGACGCCATTACTGTTGAGCAGCAGTCAAAAGCCAGTCCACATGTGAGCATGTCAAATTTGGCTATAATTTGAAAGATGATCCAAATATTTTCAGGTTTTTAAGTTCCCTGGCTGTGCTGGCTGAGAGACCTGAGCTTGTGGAGAAGATAATTCTGACAAAGAAATACTGTGAGGAGGGAGCATATCAAGTGCGCCTGTGTAAAGATGGGACCTGGCAGATTGTGCTCATTGATGATTTGCTACCCTGCAATATGCACGGAATGCTTATATTCTCTCAGGTAAGCCTTCTGCACCCAACAGTTACTTCTGTTCCAGTTGCACACATGAGAGTGGCATGAAAGAGCTGAAAATACTTTTTGGGCACTTTGTTTCGAAGTTTTGTTTAGCGCTGATCAAAAGCCCTGGTGAGCTGTCAGCTCCATATTTCACAGAATTGCTGAGGACTTTTATAAACTTAAAACTGACATGCAGGGATATTACTGAAATATGTACTGAAAAAGTACCTCTACCCAATCACTACTAATCTGTACTATTTAGAAATAACAGACAGCCATTATTTATCAATATAATCAAAATCTATTTTGTGTAAATTTCACCCAGCCCTCCAACTTGTGATTTTCAGGCCAAGAGAAGACAACTCTGGGTTCCTCTAATCGAGAAGGCAATGGCGAAGTTGCATGGCAGCTATGAGGCCATGGTGGCAGGGAAATGTATCGAGGGACTAGCCACACTCACAGGGGCACCTTGCGAGAGTATATGTCTGCAACGTGAGTAGTAATTTCTTAATTTTTCCTTATCCTGACTCATGATCTTTTGCTTATCTCCTTCTATGAGAATGTTAGTGGAACACTTGAATCCCTTGTAGTTCCCTAAAGCGGACATCAAAGTTCACTCACCCACGGTTACCTCCCTTTTCCCGTGATAGCGGTCATGTGACCAGCCATACTTGGCACTCTCTCCTTCATCCTTCATTGGAGTCCCGTATACGGCATTATATCCTTTACATCAAGATCCTTTTATCCAAATTACGCTGTGTATGGTTTTCGGTTATAACTAGCTTGCATTATATGTACATATTTTGAAGAAATTATTTGTAGGTTCGCGAAAGGAAGGTTCGGAAAAGGAGGGTTCGCGAAGACATAGTTCAACTGACCAAGAACTATCTGATGAACAGGGTGACTATGTCTTCTCAGAAGCGGAGGTCACATCTTGGATAGCTAATGGATTGGACTTAGAGTCCCTCTCCAAGGAATTGGATGAAACATGCACATATGCGATGTGGAAGGACGACTTCGACTCTCTTACGATTCCACCAATTGAACCGATATCCAAGGTGGCTACGAACCTACGCACAGCTTTTGAGAAAGCAACACGTTATCAGAATCAACATCTACCATCATTCAACGCGAGGAGGTTTCCTCTACATCATATGGTTCCCTTCATGAGAGCGCCGGACTTAGATGTCAACATGAAGTTGGTTAATGACTCACGGAACAAAACCTATAAGGTGGAGGATAAAAAGTTGGCTCAACTTGACACCGAGAACTTTCTTTGGGTTAGCAAGGTCTAGAGCGATCAATGAGGCATTGATAACGAATTGATTCAAGAACCCTAAGTCGGAAGAGGATAGGTTGATACTATCAGCTCTACTTCCTCAGAAAAAGGACCAACACTTCATTTCGGATCACTTCATGTCGGTGGGTCTCACCTTATTACGGGGACAGGGTCTACTAGCATCTTGTTCCTGGAGTGACAGATTTACCCAACCGCTACTAAGAGCTCCTTGGGCGGCGCCTACTATCTTCGGAGGGGAGATTGATGAAGCTTGTATGGTCAACCAGATAGACAGTTCCATGTACCAGCGCTATCTATGATCCTCGGTCCAGAGGACACCCAGGACTTATCCTTGTGTCCTGTCAGAGCCTTGAAGATATATCTTCAAAAGACTAAAACAAGGAGAAGAAAATTCAAGCGCCTTTTCATCCCCTTGTCGACGGAGACATTGGTGGAGGTCTCAAGAACGACAATATCATTTTGGATTAGAGCCGTTATACTACGAGCCTATAAAGCAGCAGGATTAGAGCCTCCAAGAACTTCCAACCCACACGAAGTCAGAGCACTGGTGTCAACACTCGCTCTGCAAGGAAATTCCTCAATATCATCAATAATGGAGGGCTGCTTTTGGAAGTCGGATACGGTGTTTGCCAACCACTACCTCAGAGACATAGCCACTGAAGACGTCTCCAGGCATTCACCAGTTTGGCCACTTGTTGTAGCACAACTAACAGTTCCACAAAGGCTGAGTTGGAAATCTCACCCTTTATCACGTTGACTTGTTGATAACTTTTACTAGGAAAAAGTATTAGTTTGAAAGTCCATGCGCACAGTCTAGACTAGTCTAGCATGATTGATTAAGACTCTGTATGGGTAACGATCTTACCTGTACGTTAAGGGGTCGCAACTCATTTATGATAACGATCTTATCATAATCTATGGGTTGTTATAGATAACTAGTGAAAATAAGATACTAGTATATCTAAAATCCACATGAATCTAGAAGATTCACTTGTCTGAGAGAGAAGTAGGATAAGATTGTGGTCCCCCGGAGTTATAACGGATGTTGGAAGAATAGGATCTAGGAAATGCCGTTTCACAGTTCCCATGGGGGGGGATACAGGATGTATCTAAGGACAGCTGATTAATCCATGAAGTGGCTTGACCCACCACCAATCCGTCCGATTCTATAAGCAAAAGATCATGAGTCAGGTAAGGAAAAATATGTAATTTTTAAAGTAAAATTGATAATTTTACACTTATCCTGACTCATGAGGTCAAGCCCTCCCAACCTTCCTGCTAAAGACACTTCGGATTTCACAGTAGATCCAAGTGCATGGGCTATATTCAGGTGAGAGTGGCAAGTATGGCTGGTCACATGACTGTTTGTGCGGGAAAAGGGAGGTAACTCATGGCTGAGTGAACTTTTATGTCCGCTTTAGGGAACTACAAAGGATTCAAGTGTTCCACTAACATTCGCATAGAAGGAGATAAGCAATTTATCATGAGTTAGGATAAGTATTAAATATCAATTTTACTTAAAAAATTACATATTTCTTCTAAGGGCACCTAGTATGTCTGCCGCATGAGTAGCAGTTGCTCAGTAGCTGAGTTGCTCAGTTTCTGCTACTCCTGGTAGGGTTAAACAGGCTGGTATTGGAGTCTCTCAGTAAATTTGTCTTAATGCTGCCTACTGTCTCTGTGGTATGAGCCTGATGTTAAAGTGTTGTATGTCAAGCGCCACTGAGCAGGCAATAACTTGGATATTAGGTGCTAAACAAATCTGTTGTCATTCATTGTCATTCATGTTTCAGCAAACCCAATACGGAACAAGCTGGTTGAACCGGACCTCATCTGGGCTAAACTGCTGAGCTGTCGAGATCTAGGGTATTTTTTTTTTGTCATGAGTTTGATTGAGTTGGTGTGAGGAATCAAACTGATACACTTGTACATCGTATTACGATCTAAACATTTTGAAGATGAGGTCTTCTACTACTACTTTCACTCTGCTCTAAACATCGTTGTGATGCCTAATTGTGTGTGATAAACTACTGCTTTGCATTCAAAACAAGTATCAGTGCTTCAGGTATCAGTGCTTCTGTAAACTGTATGATATAATAATAATAATAATAATAATAATAGTCCATTTGTAATGCGCATTTCTCCACGCATAATGCATGCTCGAAGCACCCAATGTTCAAAGTACACAGCACAGGATTGAAATAAGTTCATTTCATACACTTCAGCATGTAGGGTAGGCTTTTTGAAACAGATAAGTTTTCAGATTTGATCTGAATGCTGAGTATGATGGTGCAGTTCTAAGAGCGTGGGGAAGGCATGTAATATATCTGAAGGTTATCTGTGGTTGTCTTGTGACCTTCACCTTCATGTACATTTCAGATTCTTGATGGGTGCATCGTGTGGGGGAGGGAACATGAAAATAGATCATGCGGAGTACGAGAACAAGGGCCTCCGCCCCAGACATGCTTACTCCATACTGGACGTGAAGGTGGTCAAGGAAAATAAGTGAGTTCATTACTCGAGTGTGGCCATTCCCTGGGCATGATTACTCCAGTAGCGTATGCTGCCGTTGTCACTGTACATGCAAGAGTTTACAAACCTCAACCACTAATATGTTTTTGTCCTGGAATTATTACTACTTTGGGAGAGACTGAGAATAACATCATAAACACAGTACAAAGAGAGCAGATATACCTGTGACATTCTTGGAAGGGTGGGAAATTCGTCTTTGTAGGACCCCAAGTGAAATCAGATCTTCAAACCACTTGTCTCCAGATTTTAACCCAGAATAACATTCACTGGTCAAATGGGTGGTTCTTGGAAATTATGTGTGTCTGCCTCTTTAATTTAGTTGAAAACAAATTGTATTGCTTACTACAAATATTGTCCTGTCCCCTGAAAATGAAATGGTCTGTCAAACATTTGTTTTATGTTGTCAGTGCCCAGTACAGTATCAACTTAAGCATCTTGTGTCCAAACTTTCAACTACAATAAACTCTTTTGCTGATAGGCTGATTCGGCTTCGGAACCCCTGGGGTCGGTTTTCGTGGAAGGGGGACTGGTCGGACAGCTCACCCAAATGGAACACAATCGGCAGCTCGGTCCGTCAGGAGCTGATGGTCCATGGTGAAACGGAGGGAGTCTTCTGGATGTCGTTTGAAGATCTACTCAGGTATGGACAGCTCAGAGTCTAACAGGTTTCATTCTGACATAGCAATCGTTCATTAAGGTATCTTTTAAGGGAAACAGTAATGTGAACATGATAAATAGAATTCATCACTCCTTTTTATCCCCCCGGCATGTAATGCGATATGGATATAGTCGACGCCTCGTCCATCCGTTCCGTCCATCCGTAATCTTTTTGTTTCCGGAGCATAACTCCAAAACCGTTCAATATGTTTCAACAAAACTTGGATGTGCCTTTTGCTATTTATAACTTAGTCTCAAAAGGAGGGGTGCCCTTAGTTTCCGGAGCACAACTCGTCCGTCCGTCCGTTTGTCCGTCCGTCCGTCTGTAGTCATTTTGTTTCCATAACTCAAAAACCGTTCGATATTTTTCAACAGAACTTAATAGATATATTAAACAGAACCTTAAGTGATGCCTTTTGCTATTTACAGATTTTTGGCATTTTTATTTTTCCCGGTTTCCATGAAAAAGATTCGGACTTAGTCTCAAAAGGGAGGGGTGGGTTTTGTTTCCGGTGCACAACTAGAAAACCGTTCAGTATCTTTCAACAGAACTTGACAGATATATTAGGCAAATTTTGAAATGGTGCCTTTTGCTATTTACAGATATTTGGCATTATTATTCTCATGATTTCCATGGAAACGATTTGGACTTAGTTTAAAAAAAAGTCAAGCTCACTGTCAGATGATTTGTTCTTTCAAATATGTGGGGCCTGGGGGGATATGTCATCTTCTGATGACTATTGTGTTATTTACAGATTTTTGTCATTTATTTTTCATGGTTTCCATGGAAACGTTTCGGACTTAGTCTCAAAAAGGAGGAGGGATTGGTTTCGTTTCCGGAGCACAACTCAAAACCGTTTATTTTTCAACAAAACTTGGTAGTTATATCAAACAGAACCTAACGTGGTGCCTTTTGCTATTTGCAGATTTGTGTGTGAGGTATTATTTTCTCGGTGTCCATGGAAACGATTCAGACTCTCAAAAGGGAGGGGTGGGCTTCGTTTCCGTAGCACAACTCGAAAACCTCTTAATATCTTTCAGCAAAACTTGGCAGATATGTGAGGCAGATCCCTAAGTGGTGCCTTTTGCTATTTGCAGATTTTTGGCATCTTTATATTTTTCCTTATCCTGACTCATGCTCTTTTGCTTGTCTTCTTCTTCTTGCGAACATAGTGGAACACTTGTATCTCCCTAATTGAAGCTCCCTTCAATGTAAAATCACTAATTAGTACTCACCAAGAGTTGCCTCCCTCTTCCAAAATGCGCGGGAAAGGAGGCGCCACCTCTTCCCTCATGCTTCACTCTCTCATTCTTCGCCCAGTGAGCAGGATGTGAGAGCCTGTGTCTCCCTACACACTATATCCTTTGATTATTCTTAGTTAGTTACCTCTTATAGTCATCAATAGAGGTTTAGCTAGTATCCTTCAACAATTATGTATTGATATTTATTCATATTTCTGCTGTTTATTCACGGGACACCGTGATTGTTCAGCAGTTTACGTTGATGAAAATCTGTACTGTTTGTAGGTTACGTTTTTTCTGCTGCTGATCCGCATTTAATATGCCCTAGCTGTACTGCACCATGTGCATTTTCTTCACGTTGCAGTTACTGTAATGATTTGTCTAATTCTGCTTTTAACAAATATTATCTTTGCGTCTTGAGACGCGCAGCAGATAGGTCACTTAAACAGAGTTTAGCCATGGCTGATACATCGGAACCCCTCGCCAGTCAACTGCTGTCGGACGACCCCCTCCCGTCTGGTGTTCCGCTACAGTTACCCTCGGAGGAGGGGCGTGGGACGCAGTCCGCCGTCTCCAAGAAGCGTCCTGCATCCCCAGACATCCCGTCGTCGCAGCCAAAGACTAAGAGGGCTTCTACATCAACTCAATGCAGACTCCGTACCCCCAGAGCAGCGTCTACCTCCAAGGGGAAATCGATGAAGTCTACTAGAACCTTCTCAGCCGAGATTGTTCCCGCCGCAGAACTGGGCCTGTATGATGATCAGCCGATCATCATACCTGATCTACGCCACAAGAAACGACCGGGTGTCGGCAACAGTGACGTCAGCGCAGATCTACACGCAGCCTGATGTACCAACGCTGATGTCTGACGATCTTCCTGAGGGTCCCGTCACTACCAACGCAGAGAGGGCACCAACTACATCTTCGCAGACCGTCCCAGACGACCTGGTTCTTCAGATTATGAAGATGATGGAAGATCGCTATGGACTGGAGAGACAACCAGCCAGAGCCTGAGCCTTCACGAAGGCTCCAACGTAGACGTCACCCCAGAGGGACCCCCTGTCAACGTAGCGGCCGCTACCAAGTCATCGCTTGGGAAGCCACCTGCGCGAAGGACGACACAGCCCACCTCTGCGAAGGACCCAGATGTTCAGCGTTCGCGAAGGCCTTCGCAAAGGACATCTAGATCGTCACCTACCTCGGGACTCCGATGATCAACACTCACGAAGAGGTTCGCGAAGGAAGATCCTCTCATCCCCGGACTCTGACTCGGACCCCCAGCCTTCGCGAAGGTCAAGTCGTCACTCCCCAGGACCAGACTCAGATGAAGCTTCGCGAAGGTCTTCGCGAAGGGCACCAGTTACAGGCTCCAAGTCATCTTCGTCTAGAAGGTCATTGAGGGATTCCCCAAGAGCTTCGCGAAGCTATCAACGTTCTCCACATAGATCTCCGCGAAGGTCACCATATAGACGCATCTCGTCAGGCCGTTCTCCACGACGATCTCCTCGCCGTTCTCCACACCGTTCGCCTCACAAGTCTTCACGGAAGTCCCCAGACAGGTCTCCGTTGACGTCACCCTGCACAGCGGTAAAAGTATACAGGTCTCCACCTCAGTCACCATCGGAAGAGCATCAACCTCTTATTAGCGATCCCGTTACAGAAGATGATGGAAGCATCATATTCTCCGACGCAGAAATACGCTACTGGATGGTTAACAACCTGGACCTATCTTCACCTTCCAAGAACGGTAACCTAGCCCACACTTACCTCATGAGGGAGGATGATGCAGACACCATCACTCTACCTCCGATCGACCCGATAGCAGCGGTCCCCCAGAATCTGGACACAGCCTTCCATAAAGCCACTAAAGCCCAGGCGCCGCACTTACCACAGTTCAACGCCAAAAAAGTTCTCAACCCATAATATGGACCCATTTTTCAAGGCACAAGAAATCGACGATAACTTCAAAGTAATCAACGATGCCAAGAATAAGGCCTACAAGATAGACGACCACAAGCTGGTTCAGATCGAAACCATGACAAGGAGAATGTTCTTCGGCCTTAACAGATCAAGAACGATTAATGAAACTCTCATCACCAGATTTCGAGATTCTACATCAGAAGATGACAGAATGATATACTCGGCCCTCCTTATGCAGAAGAAGGACCAGCAGTTTCTAACGGATCATCTTACATCAGTCTCCGCAGCGCTAACTCTGGCTCGTCGTCAAGGTCTCCTCGCTTCCTGTAGTTGGGGTGAACAGTTTACATCTCCACACTACACAGCCCCGTGGTCTACGCCATCTATCTTCGATGGAGGAATAGATAAAGTCTCTAAAGAAGTCACCAAGGATTCAAGGGAAGTCCTTATGATAAAGTTGATGGACACGCTAGCTAGCGTCATCAGGCAGACATCACAGAGATATTCAGGAAGATCAAAGTTTACTGGCTTACAGAAAGCACGGGACAGGAAGATGGCCAGTTCAAGAGGAAAAGATTCTTTTCGTCGCCCATATGGCAACTACAGAGGAGGATCTGGAAGAGGCAGGGCACCCAGAGGCTCCCGCAACTATAAACGATGAAAGACGGGTTCGGAACGACTGGAGTCTTCCACCCCCAGCCGTTCCAGTACAACCATCACAAGTGGGTGGACGCCTTCAACTGCACTGGGAGAACTGGGGAATTCTTCAAGACCCATATGTCTCCAACATCCTTCAACACGGATATCGAATCCAACTACAGGCCACGCCTCCGCTTACAGTCAACCCTCACAAGTTCGACTTCCAGGCGCAACAACTACCAAAGTTAAGAGAGGCTGTTTCATCTCTCCTAACCAAGCAGGCCATAGAAGTACTGTATCAAGTAAACAACGAACCAGGCTTCTACTCCCCAGTTTTCCTAGTGCCCAAGAAAAACTCCAAGGAAAAGTTCAGACTCATTTACAACATGAGCACGTTCAACAGAGATTATCTACGCAAACCGCCAACGTTTTGCATGATACATCTACCTCAACTACGGCACCTAATTCGTCCCATGGACTACATGGCCAGTATAGATCTGCAGGATGCTTATCTACATATCCCGATACATCCCGAATCCAGGAAATACCTACGGTTTACACTAGACGGGCTGCATTATCAATGGAGAGTACTCCCATTTGGAATATCATCGGCCCCCTGGTTATTCACAAGAGTAACGAAACCTATCGTCACTTACCTACAGCGTCTAGGGCTACGCAGTGCGTTCTACCTCGACGACGGGATTCAAGAAGATCAAGATCTACAGCGTCTCAAACTACAGTTAAACTTCATCATCAAGCTACTAACACAGCTAGGATGGTTAGTAAATCTACTCAAGTCGGACCTAGAACCTACGCAAGATCTGCAATTTCTAGGCATTCGATTTATCACGACACTGAACCGTATTGTCGTACCAGAGGACCGATGGCTCAAGATCCAACAGACCATCCCACAAGCCTTACTCTCTCCCGCTACCACTACGACAATGGCAGAGTCTGTTGGGTCTCCTCACGTCAGCCCAAGACATGACAGGCAGACTACAGTTATGTCCGTTACAGGTCCTCATCAACGCTCATCTCGACGACCTACAACCATTCAGTCTACCGAAACACATCAGACCTCATCTACTATGGTGGACCAGGAGGTCGAATGTCTGCGAAGGCATCTATTTAACAGAGCCGGAATTCAAAACCCATCTCTATGTAGGCGTGTCGCTCCAAGGTTGGAGAGCTCATCTCGCACATAAACATGCTAGAAATGAAAGCAGTAATCAATGCCCTACTACATTGGAGCACCATTCTACAGAATGCGCATCTGATGATTCACACCGACAACTCAACAGTGGAGTTTTATGTAAACAAACAAGGCTCAACGAGATCATTGAACCTATTGACTCTATGCTTTCAACTGTTCGATCTAATCGACTATCTCAACATACATGTCAGAGCATGTCACATTCCTGGAGCCAAGAATGTACTAGCAGACGCACTCTCTCGGCCACATCTACCGTCACCGACAGAATGGATGCTCCATACAGAAATCTTTGCACAGATTATCAAGGAAATAGGAGCTCCACTAGTAGACCTATTCGCCACTCGCTTCAACAATCAGCTAACAACATTCGTATCACCAGTCCCGGATCCACAAGCGTGGGCAACGGACGCACTAAGCATATCCTGGGAAGGCCTCAACGCGTACGCGTTTCCGCCGCCAGCGCTAATTCCAAAGGTGTTACAGAAAATCAGACAAACGCAGAGCCTCCAACCTTTCCCATTCTAATTCAAGAAATCGGACAACCAACACTACAACTACCAAAGCGCTCGAATCTACTAGTACATCCTCACACCAAACAAGCGCACGGAAACCCAGAAGCATTCCAACTTCACGTATGGACTGTATTAAAGTGTGTCTAAACAAGAGAGGTTATTCAGCCAGAGCGGCGAAAGCAGTCACCCTTGCTTTAAGCAATTCTACGAGCTACTTGTATGACGACAAGTGGCACAGTTTTGAAACATACGCTGCTAAAAAGGGATTTACAGCGAGAAATGCTACACATCCACAAGTGGCTGACTATCTGTGTTACCTACGACAAACTAAACTTCAAAAGGCTCGACATTGTCAACATATCTCGCAGCTCTAAGTTCAGTGATAACTATGAGAACGGGTATCAAGCTAACGAAAACGCCAGAGTTACTGGCCTTACTACGTTCATTCCGATTGGAGGATCAGAAACAGAGATTTCGCGCTCCAGCATGGGATCTAAATATAGTGCTCCAACACCTCACAAGTGAGGCCTATGAACCACTGGAATCAACATCCTTTGAATTTCTGTCACAGAAAACATTTCACTGTTATCCCTAGCAACGGCAGCCAGGATGTCAGAAATTCACGCACTAGATTATGAGAGAATACATTTCGACGACAATCAAAACATAGTGCATATGGGACTGCGATGGGACTTTATCGCCAAGAATCAATTGCCAGGTCAACCAGACAGATTATTCCATGTCCCTGCACTTTCCTCAATTCTCGGACCTCAAGATACGCTTGACCTATCTTTATGCCCAGTGAGAGCACTCAAAATCTATCTACAACGATCCAAAACAAAGCGACGACAACTCAAGCGGTTATTCATCCCTCTATCGACAGCGACTCAGACCGAAGTCTCTCGTACCACCATATCGATATGGATCAGAACTGTCATACTTCGCGCCTACAAGGCTGCAGGACTCGACCCTCCAAGAGCATCTAATCCCCATGAAATCAGAGCACTGGCTTCCACACTCGCTCTACACGGAAATTGCTCGTTGAATACCATTATGGAGGGCTGCTTTTGGAAATCCGACATGGTGTTTGCTAACCACTATCTGAGAGATATCACCACCGAAGACGTCTCAGGTATTCACCATTTCGGTCCCATGGTCCTTGCACAGCAGTTGACAGTCCCTCGTAGACGATGAGACATAGTCTCACGAGATTATTATGTATATATCATACCAGTATCATCTAGCTTATAACTCTACGGAGTTTTGTGCTATTTATATACATATCTTAAGTCTACATTAATCTTAAGCCCAGTACTGATGTTAAATGTACATTGGGTCGCTTCTCCACTTTGGGGTCGCATTTTATATCATTATTACTATTTTCATAGTTTCTAATTATTGTAGTTCCCCCATCTATGGCAGCTGGTAGAACTTATGTTTTATAGCAGCAGGAATTATCTTAATTACAGTGCCATTATGAAGTTCCCGTAGGGGGTTATTACATATATATATATAAATCACTAATTATTTAAATCCAAAGTATTCTGTTTCCCACGTCCGTTTCCGTAGGATTCTGCAAGCAAAAGAGCATAAGACCGGATAAATATGTAATTTTCTGAATAAAATTGATATTTTATACTTATCCTGACTCATGAGGTAAGCCCTCCCATCCTCCCCACATAACACTTTGGATTTCCCTGTAAATTCAAGTGTTGGGCTCATTAAAACAGGAGAGAGTGAAGCATGAGGGAAGAGGTGGCGCCTCCTTTCCCGCGCATTTTGGAAGAGGGAGGCAACTCTTGGTGAGTACTAATTAGTGATTTTACATTGAAGGGAGCTTCAATTAGGGAGATACAAGTGTTCCACTATGTTCGCAAGAAGAAGAAGACAAGCAAAAGAGCATGAGTCAGGATAAGTATAAAATATCAATTTTATTCAGAAAATTACATTTTTTCCATGGAAACGATTCAGACTTAGTCTGAAAAGGGAGAGATGGCCTTCGTTGCCAAAGCACAACTCGAAAACCGATCAATATCTTTCTTCAAGACTTGGTAGATGTATCAGACATAAGCTAAAGTGGTGCCTTTTGCTATTTACAGATTTTTGTCGTTTTTATTTTTTTGTGGTTTCCATGGAAACGATTCGGACTTAGTCTCAAAAGGGAGGGGTGGGCTTCATTCCGGAGCAGAAAACCGTTCAATATCATTCAACAGAACTTGGCAGATATATCAGACAGATCTTGAAGTGGTGCCTTTTGCTGTTTGCAGATTTTTGCCATTTTTATTTTTATTGCTTTACATGGAAACAATTTGGACCTAGTTGAAAAATATCAAGTTGGACTTTAAGTAACTGTCAGTTGATTTGTTCTTTCAAATTTATGGGGGCCGGGGGGATTTGTCATCTTCTGATGACTCTTGTTTTTAATATGAGAATAAACAACGTGTGTTAATGATTAATAAAAAGATTAAATACAATAAGTAATAAATAAATGCAATAAATAGGGCTCAGCAAATCCTAATCAACTAAGACTTAGTGGATATTTCCCATATCAAAAACATATTGTGGTGGATTATCTGTTTATTGCCTCACTTGTTATTGTTAAGGGGTCCTGTGAAGATTCGGGTTAGAATTGATCTTCAGTAACCTATGCTTGTTGTGAGAGGTGACTATCTGGATTGGGTGGTCAGGCTCGCTTACTTGGTTGACACATGTCATCGTATCCCAATTGCATAGATCAATGCTCATGCTGTTGATCACTGGATTGTCTGGTCCAGACTCGATTATTTACAGACCGCCACCATATAGCTGGAATATTGCTGAGTGCGGCGTTAAACAACAACCCAACCAACCAACTATTGTTAAGAATGTTGGAAGCTGAAGAATGCTTACACTGTTCTTGTCCTTGCGGTCCTGGAAGCTGTTGAGAGCAAACCCCTGACATACTGTGTCGTGAGGACACACCTGAAACAGGATCAGAAAGTCAGAGTGTGTCACTAGGCTCATGATGCAATATGCTGAAATGGTGTGGCCAATATTGGATGCTGCCTCCATTAGAACAGCCTTGAAGTTAGATAAGGTTGATGTATTTAGTAGATACCTTGTTTTCAGGTAAGGTATTGAAATATTTTGTATAATTACATCTTTGTTTTATATATATTTGTCCTGTTGTTTCCAGGTACTTTGACAGTGTTGATGTGTGCAAGATCCGTCCCAACTGGCGCGAGTCTCGTCTGGCAGCGGAGTTCCCCAGTGACGCGTCGCAGCCCATGAGTGTTGTGAAGTTGACAGTGTTCCACACGACGGAGGTGGAATTGGGGCTGTTCCAGGAAGGAGTCAGGTCAGTCACCAGTAACAAGATTGACTCAAAATTATAACAATAGCTGTATTAATATGTTCAGTTATTGAATTATCATATTAAGAAATTTGAAACCTGTGTTTGATCAGTTGATATATGTTTGTACATGCAATGTTTCAGAGGGAATGACCATTCGGCAAAATCTCCTCTTGACCTGTTCATCCTGGTCCTCCAAGAGTCCAAACATCCCAACTTTTCTGTGGGCAAGCTGGTTGGTCATAGCCAGAGACAGCTGCGATGTTTCATTGGATGTAACCTGATGTTGGAACCAGGAGAGTATGTGGTCCTCTGTCTGGCCTTCAGTCACTGGACGACAGGTGAGGACATTGAGAGTAGTTGTAGCAGTGCGAGTATGTGGTCCTCTGTCTGGCCTTCAGTCACTGGATGAGAGGTGAGGACATTGACAATAGTTGTAGCAGTGAGACTATGTGGTCCTCTGTCTGGCCTTCAGTCACTGGATGACAGGTGAGGACATTGACAATAGTTGTAGCAGCGAGAGTATGTGGTCCTCTGTCTGGCCTTCAGTCACTGGATGACAGGTGAGGACATTGACAATAGTTGTAGCAGTGAGAGTATGTGGTCCTCTGTCTGACCTTCAGTCACTGGACGACAGGTGAGGACATTGAGAGTAGTTGTAGCAGTGAGACCATGTGGTCCTCTGTCTGGCCTTTAGTCACTGGACGACAGGTGAGGACATTGACAATAGTTGTAGCAGTGAGACTATGTGGTCCTCTGTCTGGCCTTCAGTCACTGGACGACAGGTGAGGACATTGACAATAGTTGTAGCAGTGCGAGTATGTGGTCCTCTGTCTGGCCTTTAGTCACTGGATGAGAGGTGAGGACATTGACAATAGTTGTAGCAGTGAGACCATGTGGTCCTCTGTCTGGCCTTCAGTCACTGGATGAAAGGTGAGGACATTGAGTGAATAGTCACTGGGCTTGAGGACATTGACAATAGTTGTAGCAGTGAGACTATGTGGTCCTCTGTCTGGCCTTTCAGTCACTGAATGAAAGGTTAGGACATTGACAATAGTTGTAGCAGTGAGACCATGTGGTCCTCTGTCTGGCCTTCAGCCATGTGAAGAGAAATGCTCATAATACATATAGACAATAAAGTTAAATATTTGATTAAGGCCAAGACGTTACTGTGACCACTTGACACTGGAAAGAGTATGTTAACAAGTCCATACTGATGTATGCAGATTGATCCTATGTTTTCATGTTTTGTCTGCCCTGGTTCCAGTTCCCGGGACCAAGGTGAGCCACCGCTATGTGTTGTCGGTGCACAGTTCCAAGGCTCTCATGGTCGACCAGATCAACACATTCCGCAACAGGCAGTACGAGAATGTCCTTGCCGATGCCCTCATCCAACTAGCTGTTGCTAAGGGAACAAAGGAGGAGGTGTGTATTATCTTGTGGTGATATTTGTTTTTAATATGTTAGTTTGAAGTTGGTTGTAAAAGTATCAGACAGTCCATATTCTGTCAGCATGCCTGCACACATGTATGTATACATACCTCTCTCTCATGTCTGAATGCAAGGGTAGTAATCTTAAAGCCCATGTCACCTGACACATCTGTTCCTTTCATCCACTGAAGTTGCTGCTGTTTCAGGTTCGGAAAGGCGTCACGGTATACAGTCTCCTCAACGGATGGGCAGGGGGAATATTTGTAGCTGAGAATCGGTTGCCAGGCAACAATGTTGTAATGTGGTGTGACTGCACAGAGAGCTCTAACGTTGTCAGCACGAGGGGTTCGTTGATCAGCAAGGATGTGATCCCTCCACTTCATAGGTCAGTACCAGAGTCAGGAGTTTCATGTACAACTTCTTTGTGGATTGGATGGCCAAAATGGCTTCTGTGTGTGTACTTGGAATGCTACCCAGAAGGGATTCAAGGTTACAATAGCACATCAACCTGTAGTTGCAAACGGGGTTTAAATGGATCAAGTTGTCCAACTTGATGACTTATGATTGTATCTCATAGTAGTACCCCGATGGTTGGATCATCACAATGTCAATCACTGGATTGTGTGTTCCGGACGCAATTGTTCACAGGTTGTCAGTATATAGCTGGAATATTGCTGAGTGGCATTAACCAAGTACACCCACACTAGGAAGGATGTGAGAGGAATACATAAATGTTTACAGTCCTGATGTTATAATCATCTTCGATTGTCTAGAGAAGCCTTGAAAAATGTTCTTACTTTGATCCAGTTCTGGTGATGTATTTAGTAATCACATTTTACACGCTCATTCGAGATTCTCGACTGGTTAGGATGCAGTATTTATAGATTATTTACTGATTATTTAAAGAATATGTCTGATTATGAATGTAAATGTCAGGATTTTGTGTTTTCGTGTGAACGCAGGGGAAATGATGAATTTGGATGTGAGTTTTGTATCTGTAGACAGTGTTCTGTTGCCTCTGTTACAGACAATTGTTGATGGTGTTGTCCCACCTGGAGAGGTCCCAGATGTATCACCTGTCCAGATGTCTCAAACATCGCATGACAAACCCCAGTTTTGGACTGGGAGACTGGGGTCCCACCCCTCACAGTCAGCATGAACCAAGCCTCATTCCTCCCGTCGAGGCCCTGCACATTCCTCGACCTCTCTGATCTCGGGGTCACTGCTACAGATGTGGACCAACAATCACTATTACAAGAGGAGGGACATTATTGTGATAAATGCTCCAAGCTAGACAGTGGACATCTGTATCTGTCCATTGTGGAACACTGTACTGCCCTGTACTCACCATGGCTGTATCGTTGTATGTGTGGTGAGCAGACGTGCAGATGTGAAAGGGTTGTAATTTAGACACATATCAAGTATTAGGGATGTCACAATACAAAAGTTTTATGAATCGATACGTATCACGATGCCCATGTCACGATTGGATACATATCATGATACCTATTTATTATTGCATTATTGAGTAAATTTAGTTACATTTTGAACATTAATATTACATATTTTATAATTGTCCATGAAAAGATCAACCTTTTTTTTTCTAATTTCCCATCTTTGTGCATGAAAAATAATCATTTATAACTCTCCTAACAAAAGTATGATACAATTTCAAAATGTAAACGACACATAAACGTATTTAAACCAATACTTTCAAAACCAAATATCAATACAGTTTTGAATGTACCGATAATTGTATCATCTTAGAAACAGTATGGATGCATCAATGTATCGTGGCATCCCTATCAAGTATCAGGCTTGTACATCCTCTGTGTTCACGGCTGCAGTAGCACTGAACAGAGTTCAGATATGTAAATGATTGCATGTGTACTGAAACACCAGCAAGGTTCTGGACAAGGAAGAGACAGTGACTTTACAATACAGTGTACATATAGAAGTAAGGAACAATGAGTTTACAACTGTGTTTATGTCAGGCTTTGCAATTGGTTTGTTTTCTAGGATTACCATCGTAAGTGTCCTGTAGATATTTTTCAAATTGGTTAAGAGAGGAATTTTATGTTACATGTTGATGAAATTGTGATATTAATTGACTTTTGAACAGCTGAATTTATTCTTAAAAAACGTTGTTATTTCAGTATTTCAGTGCTTGCCTACTGCAAGTTTAGGAAAGTAGTCCTCAGGTTGGAAGATTTCAGGAGAACAGCTGAATTTTTACTCCTTTAGTAATCAGCAGATATTCTTATGTTGTTTCTGCTTGACCTCGTGATTGAGTCTCTGTATAGATGTGTTTAATGAACAAACTTACTGAGGTTGTACTGATCACAATCCAGGGCTGTATTTACTGCTTTAAAACTTGCACTGGTGCAACCCAGTTTTACAAAGTGCAACCTAGTTATTAGTCTAACTTGCACCAGGTGCAAGTCAATTTTTGAGTGGGTAAACTTCTGAATAAAACATCTAACTGAATCAATAGCATATTTCTTTCATTACATATTGCAATTAAAGCAGTGCAACTGGAATTTGTCTGGTGCAACTAGGTTTTTATCACAGGTTGCACCTGGTGCAAGTAGGTTAACATCTCTTGAATCGAGCCCTGCAATCCTTAGCTGTTGGTCCACTTGAACCCGTGGAGGATACATTATAAATATGTTTGGTTTTTATAAAGCTGTAACAGGTTGTACGTCCTGGTACAGTTAACCTGTACATTATGGATCTCACACTCCCTGTATTGGCAGACACTACTCAATATATACTACTCAACCATTGTTAGGGGAATAGATGTTTCATGCTGTCTACACATATATGTTTCTGTATGAATATCTCTTTAAGACGTTTGGGCAATGGTCCTTTGTAACGATGATCTCATACTTGGTGTCCCATGTTGTGATATTGCTTAAAGCTACAACCAGCTGCTCACTCAAAATCTGGGTTAGAATTGATCTTCAGTAACCATGCTTGTCATAAGATGTGACTAAAGGGATCGGGTGGTTACACTCACTGACTTGGTTGACACATGTCATCGTATCCCATCTGTGTAGATTGATGCTCATGCTGTTGACCAGTGCATTGTCTGGTCCAGCCTCAATTATATACAGACCGTCGCCGTATAGCTGGAATATTGCTGAGTGCAGCATAAAACTAAACTCACTCAAGTGAGTGAGTGTTGTTTTATCCCTTGTGTCAGCTTCACCACTGTGGAGGACATCCATCAATGGTTTCTAACATTGTACCCATGTGGGGAATTGAGCCTGGGCCTATTGCAGAGTGGACCCTTAACCACTTGGCTATCCCAATGCCATGTCAAATGTTGGGTGTTATCCATAAAAGGTATCTGGCTTCCAGCACCACACTTTTGACAATAATTCTTTAAAAATCATTTACCCAGCCCACACTGTTCTTATAAAGTCGGGGCGGTGGGGTAGCCTAGTGGTTAAAGCGTTGGCTCGTCACGCTGAAGACCCGGTTCGAATCCCCACATGGGTACAATGTGTGAAGCCCATTTCTGGTGTCCCCTTCCGTGATGTTGCTGGAATATTGCTAAAAGCGGCGTAAAACTAAACTCAGTCAGTCAGTCTTATCAAGTCATTATCTGAGAGCCTTTGTTGAGAAAATATACATGCAGTTGGATGGGGTACTAGATGGATGGCATTATAGAGGGAATTCTGGGAGGTTGCTTGTAAGCAGATTTCCATTGTGTGTGTCCCTGTCTCTCTGTGTTGTGTAGCTTTCCTGTCTCAAGTCCTAACCACATATACATGTATATACCCTGTGGTGTTGCCGATGTCATGTTGGGTCCTCTGTGAGGGATGATACTGCTGTTGATGTTAGTGATCTTTCAGCCAACAGGAATTCATGGCCAGGAAATACATTGGTGATAAAAATTGATATATTTCATAGAAGTCCAAGTTGCAGTATTTACGACCACCTGTGATGAACCAAGAAGGTCAAGGGTGATTACCCTAGTGTTTACAACGAGACAAAACTGTTCCTGCATTATTTTAGTCATGGAAACATGAGCGTCCCTGAGACCCCATTGATGTCAAAAGTTTGCCTGTGTTTGAAGATATGTATGTTTTGAAACCTAATGGTTCTGGGTCTTGTAACGTTAAGAGATGTTAGCGACTGTCGTTTATCAGTGTTAAAGAATGTTACGATCATCTTAGCACTGTAATCACTTCCATGATGGCTATGAATTCCTCTTGTGTGGGATGTTATTGTGTGTTCAAATGATTTATAGACATTGTTATTAAATAAACAGTTTTAATAATCTATCATCATCATAATTCATGTTTCCGTTGTTGAAGATGTACTTTATCTATTTGTGATAAGAGTGCTTGCAATATTTTTTGTTTTTTAACTCCTCTCATTTCATGACTCATTAGTCACAAGCATATAACTACTGGTAACACCGTTCAGCCAAATTTCATGTAAAGCATTGCAATAAACCACTCAATAGATGATAGGTTAATTGTCTAAAGCCTGATACATTGACGACTAGCTACCGTATAAGTGGCTGTCATAGATACCCTGTAATGAAAACTAAAAGAATTTACTGTTAGTTTTAGCCAAATATAACTTTTGTTTGAAGAAGTATCCCTTTGGAATATGTTCTTTGGTTAGACCATAATCAGAGTTACCTCCCTGAACTCTCTAACAACCCCCAAAGAAGCCATATGCTAAGTCCCCATCAACTTATACTTGTCATAAGGGGGTCCTGTTGTTTGACTGTTCTATTTTATAAACCGATGGGACCTTGCTCATATTGTCATGTATATCCTTCTGTTTTCTAAGATGATGATATAGACTTGACTGTCCTTTCTTGAAGACACTTTGAAAACACTTTGAAAATTGTCAAGATATGCTTCTCAAAAGAAGTTAAGAAAAACCTGATTGTTTCATATTACTGTCATTATTTGTTCTTTGACATATCTTCAGTAGTTAGGTAAATGTCACACAGCTGTGACTAATCCTTGTATGGGATTTCGGTTGCTTTAATGTAAATTAGTGGATTAAAGCAAGTAAGATTGTAGAAAAGCCTTAAACTAACACAGGACAAGATTGATCATCACCAGTTTTGGCAATATAAAACTTTCTGAGGTCATGTTATGATTGTTGCCAAACTTAATGGTACTCAAACTTGAACTGATGACTGAAGAGATGTCAGCTGTTGTCTCGCTACTTCTGTTGTACTCAGCGTGGTGACCTGCTTGTTTCTATAGTTTATTGTCTGGGACCATGTCCTCCATATGTACATATCTCTATAAACCACAATCTATTTAGTACTTAAAGCTTCAATAATGGTTCTAATTATGAATTCAACAATTACTTTTGAATACATTCCCATGTGTGAATATTGAATTGTGTGTGTATGATCAGACTGGAATTTACAAAATCTGAAGAATTAAGGTTTGTCATCTTAGAGTTTTGTCATAAGTAGTCAAGGTATGAATTGTGTTTCTTTGAGAATGAACAATGCATAATCCAAATATTGTCATTCAGGAAATTTTAGTTACGTCTGATAATCTGTAAAATATGATTCCATGCATATTCTGCTTGATACAGCCAACTCTCACAGGTCCACATTAACCTGGTTGCGTGGGCCAGCTGATTGTGTGGACAGATTACTTGGCTGAGTTCATCTTGTTATCAATCACTGGATTGTCTAGTCCAGACTTCACAGGCTTCGGTTACTTGGCTAGAATATTGCTGACTGGCATAAAGATAAACTTAAAAGAACGAACAACATTTCAGCTGGGTTGTCAATACTTTATTCTGCTCATTCTAATGAAGATCAGGGTCATGTTGACCCAGTTTGCTAAGCATATGCTTTGTTATCTCCCTTTGTCGTGACAGGATCATCTGATCTTTGGCTGGTCAACACTCTGCATGTGCTTTTCCTCCACACAAAACTGTGCTATAACTGAAAAACCTTTCTCAGTGATAGCAAAAATGACTGCAGTTGTATGACCTGGCTTTGTTTACTTATCATGGCATTAAACAGAATCACTTAATACTGATTTTTTGTCAGAATACAAACAGATTGTACCAAGTTGTGTAACGTATCATCTCCAATACCTACACAGTAGTTGTCAGAGGAAGAGTGTTTCTACCTGTCAGGGGATTTTAGGGTATTGATTGGCTTATACAACAGTGAAACACCGGGCTACCTGACACTGTGATATAACTGGAATAATATTCACATTGGCATTAAACCCAACTCACTCACTCACTTGATGGGGGCCGGTGGAGTAGCTGTGATATTGCTGGAATATTGTTAAAAGTGGCGTAAAACTAACCTCACTCACTCACTGATCCATGACATACCAGACAGCTGGTCACTGATATATTGCTGTGTTGTAAGATCCCAATTCAGTTCATCCCATTTCATTATGTAATGACTCAGTTTGTGTGACATCTTTGACTTCACCATGAAGAGTGTAGTGAATACTAGTGGCATTTGTACATGTAGGCTGTTCAACACCTGAAGGTTTGGTCT